TTGGGAGGTTGTAGAGAGAGAGGGTTTGACCCGTTTGGGAGTTTTTAGATGGAGAGGGGAGAAAAAAGAGACGGGCCGGGAAATAAAAAAATAGGCGGGTGGCTCCGTTAATTTTTTGGAGGAAACCTACACGGAATTTCCGTCTAGGTTAGCATCAATCTAGACGGAAATTCCGACTAGATTGAGTGCCCATTTAAAATAAAAAATAAAAACCATCTAGTTTGCCAATCTAGATGGAAATTTCCGTCTAGATTGACTCAAACTAGCCGGAACAAACTAGACGGAAATTCCGACTAGATTGAGTGCCCATTTAAAATAAAAAATAAAAACCATCTAGTTTGCCAATCTAGATGGAAATTTCCGTCTAGATTGACTCAAACTAGCCGGAACAAACTAGACGGAATTTTTCCGTCTAGTTTGAGGAAAATTAGACTGAAAAATTCTGTCTAGTTTGAGGCAAACTAGACAAAAAAAATTCCGTCTAGTTTGTTCATTTTTCTACTATAGTATGCAATCATTCTCTTGTGAAACTCTTTTCACATAAAACAAACACACTTAATATTTCTTAAAAACTCTTTAAGCAAACTTGCAAAACTCTTGTATATACTTCCTTGAAGAAACAAATGAGTTAAGGGGTATTTATAACCTCTCAAATGAAGCAAATAGATCGGTTGACTAATGAGTGAATCAGTCGACTGATAAGATGATCGTTGGCTACAGTCATGAAACAATCGGTAGACCGATTCAAATAGTCAGTCGACTGATAACACTGTTTGGTCGACCGATAAAGATCGGTCGACTGAGTAGAAACAAAATTAAAAATGTCGAGCAGTTAATCGGTCGACTGGTTTGAACAGTTGGTCGACCGAAAAACGTGCACAACACATATATGAACAGTAAACTTGATTTTCAAAGTGTGTTTAAAAATAGTAAATAAATTCTAAAAATTATGAAACTTGGGAAAATGTCTATTCTGATGAAAACACACATGTTAGAAAAGAAATTTTTCAATATCATTTTTTGTTTGTGAAAACTCATCATTTTGCAAAATCTCAAGAATATGAGTTCGTTTAAACACTAGATTTTGACAAAACGATTTCAAACCAGTTTTGGAATCCTTTTGAATGGATTAATGGACTTAGAAAAGATGTAAGATTTTGTCGTTAAGTCTATAATCTAAAACAGCAATAAATCAAAATAAAATGTGTGTGTGTATGAATTTTGAGCTCTAAGTATAAACACACAAAGTATAAACCTAAAAACATTATACACAAACAATAGATCTTCAATTAAGCTCGTCTTGGTTGCAGATGAAGCGATGATGAATCTTGACTTGAATTGCGACAACTTTATTCTGATTTCCTTCCAACCTCATTTGAATGTCATCGTTAAGCTCAATTCCAACCAACCTCCAACTGAGGATCTTTGTGTAGAATACCTAACAATCAAATGCAAACACTCGATAAACGATGTTAGGAATTATTTATTAATCATCAAAACTAGATTAAATGGTAGGCTCATAAACGTGAGACCTAACAATCTCCCCCTTTTTATGATGACAAACAATCTATAAAAAGAATACAGAAAACATGCAGATACTAATGAATATACAATTTGTAATTCTCATGTATGATAGAAAAATGATATACTCACAATTTACTTATTTCTCCCCTTTGTCAACATCAAAATGGGGAAAAACAAGAAATCAAAAAGCATGAGTGAGTATAAACAAGAAAAGAGAAAGGGAAGGCTCCTCCTATCAAAAAACTTTAAAGCATATAAAAATATAATAAGGCATGTATGTGAGTAAACATAGATATAAAATTGTACGCTAAACACAACTCACATTCAAGGTGACTCAAAAGAACACATATAGATATATCATTATGAAAAAAGTATCTTAATGCAC